TTAAACAAAAAAAGTTGAAAATTTGGAAAAAAAAAACTTGAAAAAAAAAAAAAAAAAAAAAGAAAAAAAAAAAGCTACATCACACAGTCAGAAACAACCAATCAGAGCCAGGAGGCGGGTCTTAGTTCTGTTAATAAATTAGCTAATTGTATAATAAATGAAATCAAACTCAATTTCTATTTGCATGGTTTATTGTTTTCTTTTTCTCTCTCCGTTTCTATCAAAAACTAGATGACAAATGTCTTTATTTTGGTACATTGGTCTCAGTTTAATAATTTTATTTATAGAAACTTCATAATTCATTTTATTTGTTTTGGTCCAACATCACGGAGAGCAAGAACAACAAGAGTTCAGTTGTTTTGTTGTTGTCTCAAAACAACAATATTTTCAATTATTGCAATAATTTCTGGGACAATTTATCATACAGCAAAACTGTTATTGTGACAGGCCTACTGTCAATCATTCTTGTGTATGTGCTGCTTCACACCCTCCGTGAATGCGCACGCTGCTAAACATGGCTGCAGATGACAGCAGATAAACAGTTTTCCAGAACGTTAGGTTGTTTCTCCTCCATTAGCAGAGCTTGTACACGCTGTGCATTTTTATAAAAGTCGCCAACTGCATCTTTGATAAAGTAATCAATGACTACGATGTTTCAGATGTTTATGTGTTGCTTTTTCTTCAGTTTGCTTTATGTGTATAATTATGCACTGCCTTCTGTTTTTCTCAGATTCTTTTTATCTAATATAAAAAAAATGTTTGACGATCCAAAGCATTTAAGAACAACAGAAAATTGAAGAAATCCATAAAAGGTAGTCAGAGTATAAAGAGTCGGTTTAATTTCAAAATCAAATTTTTTTTTATAACCTCAGTTACATTAAGTTTTAGACCCTCACATTTGGAGAGAAAAGATTTAAATGCTACTGCTACAAATCTGCCTCGACAACGATATGGTAATACGCAGATTCGTGGAGCGCTCTGGATGTTTGTGAGCGGCGCAAAAACAGCACGGAGGAGATTTCAAGACACAAAAGGCCACAAGATTTCCTTACTTGTTCTGCGGGGAGCAGGGTCTGGTCAGATACTGGCACATAGGTAACAACAGGAATGCAAATGCAATTGTAGCAAGAACTGAGGAGAGGGAGAAAAGCACAGCAGTTAGAGCTTCAGCCTAATACACCTTGACAGCTTGTAGCAGTCATTTCTGTGTGTTAAATGGGGCAGCTAATGGTCTTCAGTTTCAAGACATTCTCCAGGGTGTAACTACTGAGCAGCGATGGGAAAGCCTTATAATGATTCTACATGTGTGGTGCTTCTGTGTTGCCCTCTGGAGCCGCATAGTCACCTGCAGTGCAGATAGTGAAGACCACCTGAACCGAATCGAAAAAGAAGAACATGACTAGCAGAGACACAGACGCTCCTATTGGCAGGAACAGGGCCTGCGTCGAGTCTATAGTCTGAATGCCTGGAAAACAGTTCAGATGAGAAACACATGAGCTTCCAAACAGCAAAGCAGACAATCACGCAACTTGTAAAGGCCTTGGCCTTGTGACACTTACTGTTGTTTGTGTTGCTGTTATTAAAAGACCCTGCTGCTGAGGGGTTACCGTCTTTATCCTTCTCCTGGTTCTCACAATCCATGTTTAATGACCTGCAAAAGCAGCAGAGAACCGTGTGATTTGGACACAACACTACGCTCCGTTTTTCCTAAAAATGAAAAAGCTATCTCCCTTTGAAGACGTGCTCTCAGAGCAGGAATTTGTTCAGGCGGCATGAAGTGCATTATTCAGACAACACCGAAAATTCAAGTAAAAAGATATCAAGTCGATGCAATCTTCTGTATTATTACACTTGCTTTATCACACTAGAAACTGTTTTTTTCTGCACCAATTTAATCAGCAATCAATTAAACTGACTACTCCAAATAACTACTTTTACTAAAAAAGAAAAGTTGAATATGTCTTCTTTTTTTTAACTACTCATGTTAAAGTTTATTTCAAGTCACAAACGCAATTTAATGAAGAAGGATTAAAAGCACAAAAAAAGACAACTCTCCAATATGACAAAAAAATTAAAGTTAAATAGAGTTCTTGTTCTATTTATAAGCGTACATTATTGGGGCTACTTTCAGTCACAAGTGCATCTCCAAAGGAGAAAATGTTTCAATTTCTCTTAAACCCTTTAAAATACAACTAAAACCGTAATGGAGATTATCCTTATTTTTGTAAGTACGTTTTATTTATGAGTTATCTGGTTTAAATTATGTTTCCTAAAATATTATCTTCATTAGCTCAAATTAATGTGCTAAAAACAGCCAGAGGCAACAGATACAGAGGACCAGAAAAAGTCTGCAGATTAGTGAGCAGACAAGGCGATAATAAAATCAGACGAGCGCCCAGATTCTTGTCCAGAGATCTGCAACCTGCGGCTCCAGAGCTGCAAGCGACTCTTTGGACCTCCCGAGGCGGCTCTTAATGATTTTGGATTTGTATAATTTTTTTCAAACTTAAGCACAATAATATGATACTGAAGTTTCACAACGGTATGGCGCAAAAAAAGACAAGTTATATTTTTTTGATTTCTTTTTCATTAGGTTGATGAGTGTGCTTTTAAAAAAACAACATTTTCCACAAATATCAAAATCGCATTGAAAAATATGTCATTTTTTCAAAATGTCCCGCAGCATCCGTATTTCTACGTGTGTTTTATTTAGCTGCGATTGAAGAAAAAAAAAAGATGTGGATTGTGAAGTTCGCAGAACCTGTTCTAAGCTAGAATATATCAATGTGTGCAGCTGCAATAGACTTCTGCAATGCAATGAAACTCCGCTTTTAATAATATATTTGTCCACTAAGATAATGTTTTTACTGTTCTTTAGCACCACAAACAATATAAATATTAGTACCCAAGATCAGAAGGTTAGGGGAGAATGGTGGTGATGAAAAAGGAAGACAGCAAAGAGGAGAATGGGGGTTAATGGTAACTCTGTATTAATATGTTAGATGTTATTGCAAAGACACATTTTTCTACAACTGTGCAACCCTATTCTAAATGTTTCCTCAAAGATAAAGTCCAAGGAAGATGCAACAGAAAATATTCTTTTAGGAATCTTGTCAGACGCATCAACAGCAGCGTTGGACAGATTAAGTCTCACTAGTCACCTGAGCCTTATTTCAGCCAGAATTGTGTAAATGACCAAAGTTTAAGCATTTTTTAAAATTAATATTACCTCGTTCTTTTGGTTGTAGCTTCCTGACCTCAGATATCAGAGGCAATGCCAGATGTATTAGTACCACTTGGTTATCTTGCTATGACTATTTAAGTGTGGGCCACAGGAAGTGTGTGGTTCAAGGCAGATAGGTTTCCTCTCAAGAAGGGCTTTACTTCAGTACGCTAGGAGCATACGCATCAACACTCGTGTTATTTTCAGACATGTACATGCTTCTCTCTCTTTTTTTTTTTTCTTTTTAAACCTGATCTACAGCGGTCTCCTTGGTAACAATGCAATAGAAAACTGCCTCCGAAAGATGTAGGTACACAACAACATCGGTCTAAATAAGTTTCAAATTGAGAATAGATTTGTGCTCAACTGGTGGTAAAGTGATCATTTACTCACCTGAAGCTGCCATAGACGATAAGGAGGATGGAGATCAGGAAGGTGGACACCTGACTGGAGTCAACTAGGGAGTATGCCCTAAAAACACGGGAGAGACATAAAAAACAGGGTTATATTTTTAAGCAAAAACAAGTAGGTATTAAAAAAGCTAAAGAAAAAAAAAAAAGAAAAAAGCTTGGAAGACCTTTTGAGAATAGTTTTTAATCTACACGCAATTTATGCAAAATATTGCATTTAATTATCAATATTTCAGGGACAGACATTAGTGTGTTATAACAAGTGGTAATATTTAACCAAGTGGCAGCTTGTTTTTACAATTACAAATACAGAGGAACACTAAAAACAAATGGGTCAACAAAGAGCAACTTAATAGATTTGTACACAGAAGTAACGTAATCCTTTCACTTTTTGTTCAAAACTACTTCCTCTATCACTGAACATGAGGCTCAAATGGCCTTTTGTAGTCTATATTTAAATAAAATGTACTCCAGCCGCAGTATTTTTAAACTATATAGTAAAAAAAGAGAATTGTCTTTTGTAGGAAAGAGCAAATAAATCATCAATTTATCTGCTAAACCCTTCAACTTAAAGGGTTCTCAAATGCATTTAAGAACCAGAAAGCTCCTGAAGTTTAACAGATGAACTCATATTGTGGTGAAACATAACAGACAATTTAAACGTGACAAACCTAAAATATTATTTTAACATAAAGGAGATTATTCCCAAAGCCATGAGCTGAAAACTTTGCATGAAGGGCTGTGGGTGTGGCGAGAGCGAACGGGGGAATTACAGGTGCCGACATGCAGGCTGCAGAGACGGAGCGCAGCTTGTTGCTGACTGTTGTTGTTGCTCACACTTCATTTGTGGGTCATTGGAGCTGCACTGAAATCTGTCAATAAAACGTTCTCATAGCTGAAATGCAACTCGCACGCCCAAACAATGAACCCTCCTGGTTGTGATTTCAAAGCCTGATTTTAGTTACCCCTGGTTACCATTTTTGTGCTGGGCTGAGCTGTTTAACAAATGTATCTCTCCACATAATTCATTCATTAGTTTTTCCTTGATTAAATCTGCATTTTCCATTTCATTACAGTTTTTCTTTTGGCAATGCCAGGAAAAAACAACAACATCATCAATTTCCTAGAAAACAGCAACCGGGACAAAGTCCTTCCAGGAATTAGCATTACGCAGTACTGTATGTATAAACTAACCTAGCAGCATAGTATTTCACACACAAGTCGTGTTATTCACTTGAATGAAACCAGGTCAGCAACCACAGACCTATTATAGAAGTAGGTTGGGTTATTATTGAAAAATAAATGCTAAATATATGTATGTATTTTTATACTAAAGCATAGTTTTGAATCTCCCAAAAATGTTTACTTCAAAAACTGAACGCATTTTTGTTTCCTGTAGTCACTGCACCCAACATACAGATTTGAGCCAACAGGATACAAGCGAAAAACAACAAGATAAAAATAGAAATGTAAACCTGGTTGCATTTTCTTAAAAGAATGTGGTCCAACAGGAATAAAAATATAATGTGACACAATAAAACAATCTGAGGACACTCATCTTGGCTTTTAAAGGCTGCAGATTTCCTTTAGCAGGCATTAATGTTTATTTTGTGCATTAGTGTAACTTGGAGCAAATGACAACAGTTGGGAAACAAGTGGAGAAATGCTTTCATCATGGCAAGCTGTGGCTACTTGGAAAGAGATCTGGATGGGCTTGAAAAAATTTATTTCAGGAAGTTCATTAGAATTTGTTCCATCAGGCCTAAATGATTCATTTATTAACTTAAAAACGTCTGCCTGCAAATCCTTTGATGATGCGTTTAGCCCACTCGTTTATGCAATCAGTTTAGTAATCAACGGTTTTAAAATGGACAATTATTTCAGTGATATGCAAAAGTATCTGACAAAATTAAGACACTATACATATTAATTAGGGTTGCACCGATTGCAGTGTTTTGGCAGATCGCCGATTACCAATCTTGAAAAAGCCTGAGCTTAAAGTGTTCATGCCCCTTTGGACAACTACAAACCTTAGTTGAAATTTTATGTGAAGCATTAGAAAAAGAGACATTATTAGAAAGAGAAAGGAAGTGATTTTAACAATTTTCTTTCACGATACAGAAAAAGAAAACCCAGGGAAAGCAAATAGCGTTAGACGGCTCAGACTTGTTCCATCTAATCATGGAGACCGAGGCAAACATGCAACAGGTCAGGGATAAAGCTATGGATAAGTTTAAGGTAGGAATAAGTTAAAAAAAAAACTATCAAAACTCTTAAAAACCTTCAAGCTTTGGATGTGTTGAACAGCAGCTCTGTTAAAGACATATGAAAATGGAAGCAAAGCTGCCATGATGAGACATCTGTCCACACAAACTGAGTGGGAGAGCAAAGGGAGCTTTATTCAGAGAAGAAGCCAGGAGGGTTGTGGTATCACTGGAGGAGCTACAGAGATCCACAGCACAGGTGGCAGCATATGTTGATACAACAACCTAATTGCAGATGTGGAAGTGTGGCAACAAGGAAGCAAGAAGTCCCCTTTACAATTTTATAACCTCCAAATCAGGAAAATCAGCAAAACAAAAACACTGGGTGGTAGATAAGGCGCAATTCTGAAATAAAACCTGTTGGAGCCTGCAAAAGATTGGTGAAGTGTTCACTTTGCAGCAGAAAAATAAACACCGACAAATAATTTAGATCGTAGCAACCATGTTGTTACAATCACTCCAGTGACAGCGGAGATCTAAATTCAATTTGCAATCCGACTCAAAATCTGACTGAGCTTGAGCTACTTCACTAAGATGAACAGCGGGCAACAAAATGCCACACTTTCCAGATTTTAATTTCTATAGAATATTGAAAGCCATTCATAATTTTTCTCATAAGTCACAATTGTGCACTACTTTGTGTTAACATAACTTCCGCAACATGCTGCTTCATTCCAAAAATAGCCAGGCTGACATCATCCCAGGAAAAAAAACAAACTCCTATGGTTATAATTTGCATATCTCATATAAAACATCCAGTACAGATTATCTGGTTCCGCATCAAAGGCTGGATAATAAATAAATAATATATACCACAATAGGCAAGTGATCAATTTCAATAGATAATGCATCTGATAGAATTTCTAATAATTTCACAGAACTCCAATCCAGAACCGCACAGCATTCTGGGGAATGTAGGCAGAGGAAAGATTTTGGCCGCTCTACCTCTCACGACCAGCTAAGAAAAGTTGGTTGCATCAACCAGCTCACTCGCTCTGTGGTTACCTAGCAACAACCTGCTGAGTAACTTGCACAGCAGCAGTTTCAGATTTTGCCACAATGATTCATGACTACTTAAAAATAAACAATGGTGTGGCATGGAAAGATCATGTCACTATTCTTGCAGTATTTCAGATATTTGAACCAAAAAAAAAAACTAATCATAATTGTCTATATCAACCAATATGAAAACGCTTATATTGTGATACATTTTTCAAATATATTGTCCAGCCCTACCTGCGTCAAAGCTTTGACTCAACCTCAAACTGCGTACTATTTTCTAGGGCAAATTTACTTTGCCACCTTGACATGTTTACATTCAGCTGCAAGGCGCAAACTTGACTTCATTAGGCCAGTTTCCTGCCCAAGTAATTTGTAGCAGCTAAAAAAAAAGTAGGTCTTAATTAAAAAATACTAACTTTCTCTCAAAGTTGACGTTGGCATTAAAAGCCAATTAATGCTTTATCTGATTTCCATGTTTCGGTTCATCAAGCAGTATTTTCTTGTCAGACGGTGAACCAGACCAGTTCTAGCTTGAAAAACTGGTTATATGAAAAGTTTTCACAGGCCACCAGAACCATGTAGCATCTCAAAGCCGTTTGTCCAACACAAGTTTATACTAGATTTAAGTCACGGTAAATGTCTGACAATAAATCCAGTCCTCTCATGCCAATGCGCATAACCATTTGTGTCTTCTTACCGAAAACTATTCCATGTCTTCCAAGCATTAAAATAGTGATTAAGAAAGTGACCTTGCTCTCCTGCATGCCGACATTAATTATGTCACAGACTCCCCGTCAACACAGCGGGCTGCTAGACAGCTAGTTTAATCCACCACAGGCCTCATTCATATTCTGGTGCCGAACTGGTTTGTCTGAATTCTGTGCACAGAAGCCCGGAGAACATGAGTGAGATAGATGAATGGAACATTTAAAAACAAAATACAATCCGGGACTGTTGAGAGCTGGCCGACGGCCTAAAGTGCCATAAGACGGCCTTGTTCGCTGACAGACTAGGTTTTCAATAACAATTCCAATACCGTCCTTCATCAAACCAGTTGCACGCATTACTTTAGCACTGAGGCACAGGTCAACATGCCACAAAGACGATTAAGTGGCATTCTCGGATCTGTTCTGATCCAGTTAGGAAATTCTGGATGAAAAATGATCAGCCCTACAAAACTGGATTTAAGAGATTTCTTTTTAGTTTTGAAACCTTGAGGTTTAAAGCATGAAAATACATTTACTAATCAAATTTATCTTCATATTAGTAGACAGCCACTGAGCGAACGCAAGATAAAACAAAAAAGTAAATGGCGGGTGTTAAAATAAAGCCTGTGGCTTTCCACTAACCATAGTGTCAAAATAATTAGACCTCATTCTTCTCATCATGCCCAACAACTTTTGCTACTTCCTCTGTTTTCTGTCGTGTTTTTTAAACACATCTCATCCTCCAATGTAATAGCAATTACAAGTTTTGTGTATTAAGAGTGAGAGGCGCCAGCTGTTGCTTTTTAAAACACATGACAAAAACTATACTGATGTGCAAGATTGGGAACAGCAGATACATTTCAGATGACCTGGCCTATCACTGGTCAGTCACTTATATTGGCAAAAGATGGCTATCAATCGAAACAACTAATAAAAATACAACTATGGCCCGTTCTATTACCTGGAACATTCCCAGGTAATCCTCCACTAATGCAGGAGCATTCGATTTTAAAACCAGTTAAAAATACACAACCATCAGTGGATAATAATTGTTTTTTTTGTGTGTGCGTCTTGGAACATGGCTTAAT